GCTCTTGGGTGCCATGGGAATAAGAATGTCCTGAAGCCCCCACTGGAAGATGATGTATCATGGAAAGCTTTATTGTTAATGTAACGTTAAGGTAGTTCCCTCTAAGGACCCATCTCCCTCCGTCTGGCCATGGAAAAAGTCCCATCTGTCTCCAACAGGGCTAGAATTAAAGCCACTGCCAGTCTTTGTTCCATATTAAAGCACAGTCCAGTCCAGCATCTGGCTAGCTTAGCTTGTGTTCCCAGCTGCAGTCCATTGTGTATGGAGTCTTCATGGCCCTGGGCTATGTGGCTTCTAGGGCCACATAGCAGGCTAGTGTGGATCACAGCCCAAGTGAGTACAAGGAAGCAGGAGTGCAGTAAGTGTAACAAGAGAAAGAAAGTTTAACTAGGAGCTTACCCAATGAATCCTTTAGGATTTCATGCACTTGCAGTGACTCCACCCTTATAGCCAACCCATGGTTCCCCAGGCTAGACTGACAGGCAAGCGCCTTCCCTCTGTCACCCCATCTTCCCCTTTGTTTTATCCCTTTCCCCAGTGATCTGTAGGGAATGGACGGGTGGCTCCCTGGGAGTGTAAAGTTGCAGCTCCCTGGTGAAGCTGCCCAGATGAACATGCTTATAATATATTAGAGGCCTGGTGCATGAAAATTCATGCACTGGGGGGAGGGGGCGGTCCCTCAGCCTGGCCTGCCCCCTCTCACAGTCCGGGACCCTCAGGGGATGGCCTATTGACTGCTTAGGCCCTCGCCCACCTAAGCCGCAGTCTGGCCTCCCTCTGCGGGAGGCGACAGGGTCAATCAGGGGAAGGTGTCGCCCCCATCACCCTGCTGCTGCTGCCACTGCTAGCCGCTGTGGCTGCCAGCCCTTGACCCTCGCTTCTTAGTGCTGGCCCCGCCCCCCACCCACTGGTGGGCTGGGGGCGATCTGGGGCCAGGCTGGCTGTGGGAGGTTGAGGCACAGCAGGTCACACACAGTCAAGCCTCTGCGGAGGCATGGTGCCGGAACCGGGCCCATGCCATTGTCTTTGTGGCTGCCTCTGTGGAAGGGGAAGCACTGGGACTGGGACTATGCAGCCCCCTTTCCTGCTGCCTCTGCGGAAGGGGCTGCAGCACTGGACTGGCCCGCGCTGTCACCTCTCCCGTGCTGCTGCCTCTCCCGCACCACAGGCCCTCAGCACTCGCAGCCACTGTGGCTTTGTCTAGAAGGGCGTCCGGAAGACATCCGGTCTAATTAGCATATTGCCCTTTTATTAGTATGATGGCCTCCCATTAGCTTTCTTCCTATATTAGTATTAGCTAGCTAGTTACGATGCTAACATTTCTACCACTTCTCAAATCACTCTTTTATATCATCTTTTCTTGTCCTACCAACACGCACAGCTATCCTCTATCCTTTTTACACCTTCAATTACTTAAAAAATAAAATCTTTTCAAAAGAGAATGCTATATTCTCCACCTCATTTACCTTAACCCTATGACTATGGCCTTCTATCTACCACTCCTAAAGCCACTATTCTGAAATAACCATTGGTGTCCTGATGCCAACTCTGGTGGCCTTTCAACCATAACCTCATTAAGTTCTTCAGCATCCGATGAAGCTCTTTCCTCTCATGACTTCTAAGACCAGTATTGTTTTCCTGGTCTTGCTATTTTGATATTCCTTTTCTGTATCCTGTCAAGGATTCTTTATCTAACCTGCCCTAAATATAGAGCTCCTTCAATTTTCCACGTTTCTATATTTAGAATCCTCTCTGTCTCCCCTCTCTCCTCTATTCTCTGTTAGTGCAACCTCTTCACAGTTTTACTTATCAATTTTATATGGATAACTACCAGATTCACTTGTCTGATACTAACTTATTCAGAGATGCTGACCAGCACTTCCAACTTGCTTCTGGATATCTTCACTCACTTACTCACTCACTGGTTCACTTACATTCATTGAGAACCTAATAAAATGTAAGTACTGCTCTAGAGCTGTGGAGATAGCAATGAACAAAACAAAGGCCCTGTTCTACAGAGCTTACATTCTAGGGAAAGAAGGAAGTATAAACAAATTTTAAAAAAGGTGTCAGATAAAGGTAAGTGCTGTAGAGAAAACCAAATCAAGTAAGAGGCTAGATAGTGATGGGAAATGTGCTGACTAGTTTAGGTTGCATAATCAGTAAAGTCTCTATAAAATGCCACTTGAGCAGGAATCTGAAGGAAGTGAGAATGCAAAATGATTTGCTTTTAATTATGCGGATCAATCTCATTGTACATTCCTAAAGTTGGCTTCATTTGTTGCCCAGGAATCCTATTACATTTCTTCAGAAAATGTCCTCTTTAATTCCTCTAGATGGGTGTTTTTCAAGCAGCCCATCAGTGTGTCATGGAATTTAGCAAGTCACTATCCACCTTTTGTTAATACAATAGAATTGAAGTGAAAGTAAGTGAGATAAGAGTATTGTCTCCTGAAATTCTTGGTGTGTGTGTGTGTGTGTGTGTGTGTGTGTATGTGTGTGTTCTTATATTTACATTCTGGATAGTGATAGTTCTTATTCTATGTTGCTGTAAAAAACATTCAATGATCATTATCCTGAATAATTATTTTATACATTTTCATCTCAAATCTCCTAATCTCCTCCCCCTCTTACTGTCAGCTGATAATACTTTTATTTAACTGAGAATGTGGAAGTAATCATGGAACTTTACACTCTCTCATCGCTGAGTGGGGAATTTCTGGCCACATCATTATTTAATTGACAAAATCATATTTAATTTCTGCAGAGTGTTCCATGTATAGTACTTGAATCTAAATCATGTTGTTGAGTTTGTGCAGTCATGTGAATGTGCCTCTTAGATCTGGGACTACAGGGGGCACAGTTTGCCAGCTGCCGTGCTCTAAAAGCAATTTGTCCCTCAGTTTGTTGCAAAGTTGCACTTTGTATGGATCATTCCAAGTGAATAACTGAGCCCTGGAAATATGCTTAACCAGGCCCATTTCTTGGACATTTGGGATTCCTCTGATGAGCAACTTTGTCTGGAGGTCTCCCAGACACCCTTGCAGACTTGCAGAACTTCCCTTAGACCAGTGGTTCTCAACCTTCTGGCCCTTTAAATACAGTTCCTCATGTTGTGATCCAACCATAAAATTATTTTCGTTGCTACTTCAATGTAAGGTTGCTACTGTTATGAATCGTAATGTAAATATCCGATATGCAGGATGGTCTTAGGCAACCCCTGTGAAAGGGTTGTTCGACCGCCAAAGGGGTTGCGACCCACAGGTTGAGAACCGCTGCCTTAGACCAATGTACAACTTTTCCTTTCTTCCTTCTCTCATGATCAGACTCGCATGGAGTCTGAAGACTCTCCCTGCTGCTTCCAGCTCTTTTTCCATTTTCTCTCAAGGGCCTTTCCATTTTTCCTAATATATTTCTTGACATCTGTTTCTTGGAGGACCCAAACTAACACAGACTTTTAGGTTGTCCACAGATTTTTATTCTGTACAACTACACTTCTGCTTGCTCAACTCTTAGAGCACAGCATTCTTCTACTTAAAGCCCTTCAAATCACTGCTAGTGCTCATTAAGCCTAACCCCTCCTTCTCACATCCACACTCCACTCCAGCCCATTTTCCAAACATCATCCAATGTTCTTAGTCTAGTCTCAGGTCTCCTAACTGAATAGTCTCCTACTCCTTTTATCATACCTCCTCCTCCCATGCCCCCAAGAAAACATCTACCCAGCAGATGCATCCTTCATTCTGGAGCCCTTCTTGACTTTTCTATCCTATGATGGGTTTTTTTCCTTTCCATTTAAAAGGCCATAGAAGGGTGTTTTCTGCAGTCTAGTTGCTCTTTTGGGGATGTTAAAAGGAAGGCTATATGGCTCAGTGGTGAAATGCATAGTCTGAAATCAGATCTATATATCTATCTATCTATCTATATAAAAGCCTAAGCGAATGGTTGACCAGTCTCTATGATGCACACTGATGACCAGGGAGCAGACGCTCAATGCAGCTGCTGCTCTCTGGTGGTCAGTGTGCTCCCACAGCCAACCTCCTGCGGTCCCTCCCCCCACCACAGCCAGCTGGGTGGTCAGTGCACTCCCAATCCCCTGTGGCCCGGGCCAGCCAACCTCCCAAGGTCCCTCCCCCGGGATCAGCCCTGATTGGGACTGGGGAAGACAACCCCGATCACCCTGATCACCAGCTAGGCTGAGGGACCTGTGCATGAATTCATGCACCAGGCCTCTAGTATTACCATAAAAAAAGTAAAACAAACAAACAAACAAAACTAGCTGAGATCGGATATCTTTGGGAAACATTGAGCTAAACAAAAATAACCAAAATATTTTTTTTTTGCTTTGTTTTGTTTTTAATTGCAAGACTTCCCAGAGCCCTTAAAATGCTAACATACACTGTGACTTTCCAAGGCCAGCACTGATACCTTATGTAGCTTGTCTTAAATTTATTTGATCACAAAATCTCCTTAAAAAACAGATCATCTCCAGACATTACTGTTTCTTGGAACACACTTTGGAAAAGAGTAAACGTTGTCATAGAATTTTGCATGTCTGATTTTGACAGTACTATATGCATTCTTCATCTTGTTATAGCTATTGGTATATTTATCTTACACATTTTCCCACTTTAGCTTTACCAAAAAGTCTTGAAAATAACAGGCGCTTGTTGAGTTGAAAATCACCGACATTTAGTGAGGATCCATGGTCTGGAATATATTTGGTAATTGAAGAAATTTAGTTTTTACATCTACTTTTAGTTGCTTTTTTGCAGTCTTTTTTATACCATAGTATCCTGGGCTTCCTTTCCGGCTGGGAAAATTGCTGGGCAAAAAGCCTTGTTAATATGGGCTAACTTCATTTTCTCTGCAAATCACTTTACTAGAGGAACAGTATAACAGGAATATAAAGGTGGAAGTGCCTTTTAAGGGCAAGAAAGCAGGAGACAGTTGATTCTGGGTCCTGGCCCACCCTGGTGGTGGGGAAGGCAGCCTGTGGCTTAGTTCTGATTGTTTTCATTTCCAAGGGTATGTTTGTCAAAAAGGTACTCCGCCAGGCCACAATCTGGGGCCCCCATCGTAATCAAGGTGTGCACGTGGTCACCTAGTTCTTTGATAGACTTCACCTGATCATTTAGATAGTGAGTTTCCAGGAAGTCGCACAAATGGGGGTCACCTTTAGCTGAGGCCAGAGAGTGCAATTCTAGCAACGACTGGTTCACATTCTTCTCCAAGAGCAGAGCACACTCCATGGCGTTCAGCCCGCTCTTCCAGTCGTCCCTGTCCGGTTTCTTGATGTCCTGCAGGCAGATCCTGCCTCCCCGCTGGTTCTGCAGCCTCATCAGCGCCTCTGCGTGCTGGGTCTCCTCCCGGGACAGGCGAAGGAAATACCGAGCGAAGTTGTTCAAGGCCACGTCGTCCCTGGAGAAGTAATAGGCCATGGACAAGTACACGTAGGACGCATAGAGCTCGAGGTTGATCTGGCGGTTGATGGCGGCCTCCGAGTCTGGGTGGAAGTTCTGGCGCACCCGGGAGGGGGCGGAGGCGGACCCCGAGAGAGTCCTGGAGGAGGCGGCTGCTGCCCGGGGTCGGAGGGGAGCGGCGGGCCGCGGAATCCAGGGGCTCCTGGTGGCCCAGCGCCGCGGGAGAGCGAAGCCAAGGCGCGCGCCGCGCAGGGACACCAGCGAAGTGCTGATATGCTTGGAAAGGAGCAAGACACAGGACAGCATGGCCCCTTCTCTTCAGAAGTGGAGACGCATGGTCAGGGGCGTCAGGTGTGAATCAGAACTGGGCCCTAGGCGACTGCAGCTGCGTCACACGCCCCCTTTCTTCCAGTGGCACCGAGTTCCATGCGGGTGGCGGAGGTGGCGCGCGCCTGTCGCGCGTTTGGGCACATGACAATGACACAGTTCCGTTGATCTGTTCCCTCTATCGTAGGCGCAAGATTTCTGCTCTTGTGCGTTTGTAATTTATTATTTAACCTAAGTTAAAATGCTGTCCAAAAAGTAGCCGCCTGTACTTGAGAAAGAAAGGACTGACTGAGCCAAGCCCTGCTTGCCCTCTCTCCCTCCCTTCCTGAGCTTTTTCTGTCCCAGGGCTATGGGATGGGGAGGCAAACCTGAGAAATAGGTAGGGTAAAACAAAAGTCACTACCAGTTTATCTCAGAGTAACAGCCCACTCCCAAAGTGGATGCTTATAAATTGACTTTCTGATTATTTTAACAAATTTAAGTAGGAAATAATTACCGTCCCTGGCCCAGTGACTCTGTTGGAGTGTTGTCCTGTACACCAAAAGGTTGCAGGTTGGATTCCTGGTCAGGACGCATGAGGGTGGCAACCCATAGATATTTCTCTCTCTCTCTCTCTCTCTCTCTCTCTCTCTCTCTCTCTCTCTCTCTCTCTCTCAATGAAAACATAAAGTGAGGATTAAGAAATAAAAATAAAATAAAATGACCTTAAAAGTATATATATATTACTGTAGTCTATTGAGAAACTCACAGAAGAAAATTCAAGACATTCCTAATTCTTCCTTTACTCAGAGACAACCATTGTTAAAATGTTGATGGTAATTCTCACAGATTTAAAAAAAGAACCCCATAAAAATATATATCACAGACACACAAAAGTAGAAACATGCTTTTTTATTGGCTTTATAGTGGTATAATTGACATATTAAATAACAGATACAACTTGATGGGGTTTGACATAGTAATACATCTGTGAAACCATCACCAAAATCAAGACAATGAACATATCACCCCCCAAAGTTTCCTCATGCCCCTTTGTATTTTGTAATTTCCTTTGTGCAGCTCTCTGCTCCACATCATTCCAGGCACCCACTGATCTGTTTTTCCTCACTAGATAGATTAGTTTGCATTTTCTAGAATTTTATATAAATGGAGTCAGTATGGGTTTTTTTGTTTGTTTTTCTGGCTAGTTTTCTTTCACTCAGCATCATTATTTTGAGATTCACCCATGTTGTATCAATCCTTTTTATGGCTGGGAAGTATTCCATTGTGTGGACATAGCAAATTTGTTTATCCTTTCACCTGCTGATGTTCATTGTGGTTGTTTATAGTTTTGCTATTAAAATAAAGCTGCTATGAACATTCCCGTACAGGTCTTTGTGTACATTCCTGTATAAGTCTTAAGTTTTGGCCACTCTAACTGGTATTTCCTTTTAAATTTGCATTGCTAGAATTATGATGCTGAGTATATTTTACATACTACTTTGCCAGCTGTATATCTTTAGTGTCATGTACGTTCAAATATTTTGCCCATTTATATGTTGGATGATTTCTTTTCTTGTGGTTGTTTGATTTCTTATAGTTAATATCTGGATCTTTGCTATTGCTACTGCTTCTATTCAGGTCTTGTTGTATTATCTGCATATTACCTCCTCTATGTTATTTTCTTATATTTCCTTGGGGAAGTCCAGTTACCTTTCTAGGTTAGTTTCCTCACTGGAAATTTAGGATCCTACCTACTTCCAGGAGGTGATTGAAAAGGTTAAGAGAATGTGTATAGAGTACCTATCATAGTGCCTGACACAGAATTGACTCAAAATATTTTTTAATAGTTTTTACTGGATAATTTCTATTTAATTATTCAAAACCAATTATTTTATATTATTCAGTAAATAATACTTATATTATTGCCTATGGAAAAAACCTAAGCAGCTTATAAAGAATGCTTAAATGTATGATATTGTTGCTATTATGTATGAGTAGTGATGTAGAAATCCTTTTATTATGTGGACATATCAAACTTGTAGTTTTGTAGTAAGCTCCTTAGTCTCAAATGAGCATCTTAAAGTGTGCCATAAATAAAGGTGGATGCTTAAGATCTGGTTGTACTTAAATTCTGCTTGTAGAATGTGATTGATACTCACCAAGCAATTTCTCATGATTTTTTGCTTCTGTATACCCATTTTTTGCTTTTATTTCCCCCAAACTTTTGCTATACCTAAAATGTAGTTCCCTAAAGACAGGTTATGAAAATGATTCTTTAGAGTGGTCTTAAATGCCAACTGCTGCTACTAGTGTTTTAGGAAAAATGATGTTCTTTATATAAATGCTTATCTGCAAGGTAATAAAAAGCATAGATATAAAACCAATGCAGAACATGAAATGTAATGCAAAACAATGCCATAAAACACAATACACATTTAGATAACCCATATTAGTTTGTCAAAAATATTTCTTCTTCCCATTACAGTGTTTATCATATATTTTACTGGACTTTGAAAATGCAAGGATCTGGTAGGTGTTATTTTTATCCTTTGAACATTTTGATTCCTAATATTCATAGTAAAATTAATGCTGTTCTGCCAAAAACACAAACCTAGACCATCACCCACATTCCTCACAGCTCATTTCTTCCTCAGTTTTTAAAAAATTATCTTTATTTTGAAAGTATTACAGATGTTCCCCTTTTCCCCTTCACCCTACCCCCTCCCCTCCCCAGGAATTCTCTGCTCTATTGCCTGTGTCCATGGGTTATGCATATAATGCATATAAATTCTTTGGTTAATCTCTTCCCTCTGAGATTTGTGAGTCTGTTTCATGATTCCATGTCTCTGGATCTCTTTTCTTTGTCAGTTTATTTTGGTCATTGGATTCCACATATAAGTAAGATCATGTGATATTTTTCTTTCTCTGACTGGCTTATTTTGCTTAGCATAATAATTTCATTTCTTCCTCATTTAAAAGAAATTTTACTTCTTACCTGAGGATATGTTTTTATTGATTTTTAGAGAAGAAGGAAGAAAAAGAGAGAGATAGAAAGAGAGAGAGAGAAAGAGAGAAAGAGAGAGAGAGAGAGAGAGAGAGAGAGAGAGAGAAACAATTTTAGTGTCTTTTTCTCTTCCCTGTATGCCTCTCTATCTCTACGCTTTTATGATTCTCTGGGGTTCCCCTCACTTCCTCATGAAATTCATCTTTAATGGTCCCATTAAATATATCTACTCTGTAAGGTCTTATATAACCTCATTTGGAAATCCCTTACTTTTTTGTTGTTGTCTAAGTACTTTGTTTATATTGAGAGTATATTATGCTATAATTGTGTGTGTGTGTGTGCGTGTGTGTGTGTGTGTGTCCTTTAGGACAGAGATGTCATCTAACTTCAGTGATTTTGGATATGAGCGAATTGTTCTTATATTTGTATTTATTTATTTTTAAGGGCAACTCATTAATTTATTTTTAATTTTCACTCAATGAGAGGATATTTTTCCCATTGATATTTTAGAGAGAGGGAAGGGAAGGGGCTTGGGGGAGGGGAAGAGAAACAGAGAAACATCCATGTGAGAGAGACACATCAATTGGTTGCTTCCCACTCGTGCCCCAACCAGGGCCAGGGATTGAACTGGCAACCAAGGTACATGTCCTTGAATTGGCTGCAAGATGGACAGTATATAATTTGCAACTTAGGAGAGAATTGATTTGAATTGGGTCAAGGTTTTGAGTCTGCTTTATGACTCTAAAGAATGTAATGAGTGTTGATGTCCTTGCTTGCTTTAATATGTTATAGTTTAAAATCTTCTGAAATAATAAAATGCATAAAGCATACATGTGCTGGCCTGTATGTATGCTTGGAGTAGCTACTTTAAGTGCTAGAACCCTTTGAGGATGCTGCTTCCACCAAAGCTGTGGTTTGCCATTACTCAAGTTATATAACATGGGGTTCTTTCAGTCAGTGGGTTGGACATAGAAGTGGAAGGGTCAGTCAGTTTCACTTTTTCAGAGTGTTTCCGAGGCCAGTTCAGTTAACTGTAGTCTGCTAATACTATTTAGTGACCACCATATCTCGGAGGGGCAAGTGAGTCCCTAGGAATCTATAAATAAACCCTTTTCTCAAGAATCTCATTAAAAAACCTTATGACTTAGCAACCCCACTTGGAGAAACTCATATGGAAAAATGTGGTGCATAAAGAGTACGGAAATAAGAATGTTAATTTCATTGCAGTGCTGTACATAACAATAAAAAGCTGAAAGTAAACTGTCTCTCCTTGGAGTATTGATAAATTACAGGAGAGTCATACAATGGAATATCATACAGCCCGTAATAGGATCAAGTGGTGTTCTCTTTGTGGCAATATGGAGATATATCCATAAGATATTTTAAATGGAGAAGCCACGCACGTGTGTGTGTGTGTGTGTGTGTGTGTGTGTGTACACAATCCCATATTTGGAGGGACCAAAAAGGTGTACATGGAAGTGTATACACACACAAGCACACATGAAGAAGAGGAAGAAAGACATTTCTAAACAGTAGGCTGTCAGAAAAGTTGCACCTGCAGGCTACTATACCATGGTAATACCTGACCATTGCAAGTGGATAGATTGGAAGAGAGGAAGATGAGGATTTAATTTTGTTACGCATTTTAAAATAACTTAAGAGTAATTTCACTTAACCACTATTTCAATCTTTTTTTAATTAAAAAATATAAAAAGAGGTTTTTGAAGAGGTCAGGTAATCACAGATGTGGTGAAATGTACCTATATAAAGAAAGCTTTAAACACAAACAGATGACTCTACCCTAGTCATGTATCTGTTGAGAGTAGCTAAAGTTGTGGCACAATGGGAGAAGTGTGGGGATGATCATAAGAAATTGAATAGCCAACCACTCAATTATCTAGGGAAATTGAGATGGCAATGTTAGGAATTATTACTAGAGAATTAAGATGAGGAGGTGTGAGAAAGAGTAGGAACAAGGGAGCTTGCTGGAAGG